AACATGAATGCTTGTATCCAAAAATATCAGTATTCTAAGAAATATAATCTCCTTTACCAGCTCTAAATATACTGCATAAAAAACTCTAAAAAGCCAAGATTAAGGTAAAATCTTGAAAGATGAAATAATTACTAACAGGATAACATCAATACAAATAAAATATTAATTTACATTAGATGGTTAGCAGATAATAAAGTTTCTTTGAAATGCTAAATGATAGAAAAAATAAAAAATAAAAAGAACCATTAATCCAGAATTCCATCCCAAGAAAATACCTGTAAAAAAATAAAGGTAAAACAAACACATTTGAAATAAATGAAAACAGCAGGTGCTCTTTGCTAGCAGATGTGCAGCACAAGACCAAACGCACTCAGTCTCCCTGTGCGTGCACATGCGCTGTGCCTGGCTCGCCTTCGACGTGTCTGTCTGAAGTTCTATCACACCACCTGCATCACTCCTTAAAATGACTCAGCAAATCCATTGCTATGTATTCGGTTTTTTGTTTGTTTGTTTGTTTGTTTTGTATTTTAGGGAAGGGTCTACAGGGTGTTCAAGTTCTCAGTACTAGATGGGACTCGTAGTGATCCGCCTGTTTACAGCTCACCAAGAGCTGGGATTACAGGTGCACACAACTACTGTTTCAGCACGCTCCAAGGGCAGGGCAGGCAAGGCAGGCCTGGGGGTTGAACCCCGGCCCCTGTGCCTGCTTACAGGTACTTTAATCCAATGAGCTATTTGGTAGGCCCTATGTATTTGTGTATAGTACTTCAGCTTACAGGTACAGGCGGCATAGTAGCAGATCAATGTGTCCATTTGATACCCTGCCTGCAAGGGTGGCTAACAGGGCAGCAGCTCAGGCCCGGGCCCTCTCTGAGAACCTCAGCCACTAGGTATGTCCATGGTGCTAACTGTGCTTGCAACGGGGAGTGCGTGAGTTTATCAGAAATATTTTAGTGGTAAAATGAATGTTGTTCTCTATTTTTTGTTGCTGATTACATTTTTTCAGTCATTGCTACCCTTTCCTAATGAGGGCATAAGTATCACAAGTCTAGGTGCTTGATTGTTGATGCCTAGATCTCTATTTTGTCATTGTCCTTTCTAGATGAAGGGCTGGCCTTTCTCACCCAAGGGACAGAATCCATTTTTAACATCAGAGTATTGTTTCCTAGCCCTCCGGGGCTGCTGTGACGGAAGACACTCCAGAGTGCACGCACCAAAGCGATCCTCGTAGGAACAGCTGCAGCTGATCTTGGGGCAGCGACTTCGGGACGGGCGCAGAATTCATGTGGACTCTGCCTGTGTTACTGGGTGGCTGTGAGTCACAGGGTGGAGGCGAGTCAGAAGGCTCTGCACGCCCCATTGCAGGCCGTGTTTTATTTGTATGAATTACCTCTCTTTCTCTATTCACATAGATTCCAGTTTGTTTGGCAGGTAAATTAATAGATATACATAATAGAGAACTGTTTGACGAAACAAAAATTTTGAAGTGAATAAATTAAGCAAATAAAGTTGCTGCATAATTACTCAGAGAACTGATTCACAGAAACATAGCTGGCAGGTCAAAAGGCCCAGAAATAATTTCTTTGTCTCAAGTGAACACAGTCAGCATATCCCACACACTTAGGTCATACATGGGGAAAAGGGCGCCATCTTTATTTTAAAGAGAACTTGTGTCACTGTCACTTTTCCTTATAATAACAAATGGAGCTTTCTTACCTCCAAGTGATAGCCAACCCGAATGAAGGCACACAGCGGGTCGAAGGCTCCGGTGCCGCACGCCAGGAGGTGGGTCCTATTGTAGTGATGCAAAACACGAACGAAGTTCGCACACTCGCTCTAGAGCAAAGGGAGGACACCAGTCAGGGAGATGGGCTGGCAGCATGCTGACCCTTTCCAATGTTTGCGTCTCTTCTTATTGGAGACCCCAAGTTTTCCCAGAGATATCTTCAGGTGCAGTGGCAAGAGGGGTAGGTGGGAGGAAGACAAGGACCAAGGAGAAGAAACTGGGCGACTGTCACATGCGTGTCAGTTAGCAGTGAGGTGTGAGTTACATTTCATAATGGAATCGTTTCTCGTGTATGTAAGATCCCAGTGGAAGAAGAGGAAACACGGCTCAGAGGTGCATTTGAGTGCAAAGATTCGAAGAGTGACACTCCTCGATGAAGTTGGGTCACTCCCAAAGCTGAACCAGCACAGGTTGGAAACGACAATTATGTGTAGCTTTGTGATTCATAAGGAAGCATATGCACTGGAGGGCTTTAGCAGCTTCAGAGCGAATCTCAAGTGAATAGAAAAGAATCAATATAAATAACATTTCATTGTAACATTGTAACTGCTTTTAGGCTCCACAAACTGTTGCATAAAGGATCGGACTGAGTGCTGCTTTCTTTGGTGGGCATGGCTCTGCAGCCACCCTCGTCCTCGTCCCCACCTGCAGCACGCAAGCAGCCAGAGTCTTTGAAAGATTATGTGTGTGGTTGTGGTCTATAAAACTCTACGTACAAAACAGACTAGGGCCATAGGGGCACCACGCTGGCGTTACACATAAGTTCTTGAAGCCACAGTTTTCGTTTGCCACACTGTCACACTGCCGTTAATCAAGTTCACTCTAACACACACACAACACAGTTGACACTTTTATTTGTACCACAAATGGAACGCAGGACCTTATGCTTGCCAGGCAGGCGCTGGACTGCTGAGCTACATTTCTGGCCTGTGACAACTCCTAATACGCTATCATGATGTGCATTTTATGGTGAATTTTCTGAGTGGAGGAAAACATTTAAAATAACTTCAAAATCACTTTGGCTAAATTAATTCTAGCAAATATCCTCTTGCCAGATTAGGTCCTGCTCTCTCACCAAAATGAATGATGACACACTTTAATTCTTAAGTCTCCTTCCGCTCCATTCCCCTCCTCCTCCATCGCTCGACCTCTCTCTGTGCAAAACGTCTGTCCCAATTCATCTTACATTTTACTTTGTCTTTTGTATTCCTCATGATGAATACAATCACTCTGTGCTAGAAATGTGTACTAATAAAATATGAATTATGGAAGAAATACTAAATTTGTTAAGGCCAATCATTTCTTTGAAAAGAATACATGCAACATTCTGCACATACAATGTCCTACGAGGACAGCCCAGGACTTCGGCACTTCAAAGTCCCTCCCATAGCTGTGCTAGGAGGCGAGCTGACCCACAGCAGGCATGGTGGCACCTGTGCAGGTGTGTAAGGAACACGCTGCTCGGTCGCCTGTCTGGGGCAGCGGAGTGCTCACTTTCCTCTCTGTGACACTGTGTGCGTGGATATGGAGTAGAATCTGATCTACAACGTTACGTGGATGACTACGGAGTATCATCAGGGATGGGGACACTCTGGCCTCATACCGCATGGCACCTGCTTTTCCTCGGTGGACACTGTCGCCTGTGGGAGCGAGCCAGCGAGCTACAGGTTGCTCCTTGGAGCCAAGGTTGACAGTGCCTGAGAGGATGTTCAGTTAATCAGCTCCACGCGGGGATCGGGGCTGGGCACAGAGAGCAGCACCGGATCAGTGTGTGGCAGTCATTCACGTGGCTTTTGGCCTTAGTAGACAAAGGCTAAATTCATGTTTCCAGGGAGGTCCACTGCCTCCCTTGAGGTGCATTGTACAACAGGGCAGCCCGGTGGGTGCTCAGGCTCCTGTCCCCAGGGCAGCAGGGACACATGCAGCAGCCTCTCCACTCCCACACCTGGAGGAAGCCACACACAGCCAGCCAGAAAGACCCCAGATGCAAGCATCGCCTCCATCCCTCCTGGAACTCCACATCCTCTCCCCTTTCACGTCTCGTTCCTGCTGTACTAATCAAAGTGAAGGTAAATCTCACGGTGGCTCTAGGTTTTCCTCAAATTAAAAAAAAAAAAAAAAAAAAAAAGCCCATAGTTTTCTCAAGCTGCCCTGCAAAGCAGGCTGAGCATAAGGAGTTTACGCATCCAAGATTATCAAGACAAAGCGAAATCCCAGGTCTCATGGCAGTGGGTTCCGGAAGCTGATTTCACACGAGCACAAATGCATTAAACATATGTGTTTACATGTTTTCCTCAGGAGCTAAACTGCATGTGAGCTTTTTGATAAGAAATACAGTTCTTTTTAATAACAAAGAGAACCCTGTGTGGCCGCGCCGGAGCATAGCTGGTGACTTGCGACTTCCAGGGACAGCACTTACCGCGTCCTTCCCTTTCATGATGCAGTCGTCTATTTTTAGCGCTGTGCTGGGCCAGTGAATCTGGAACAGAAGATAATGGACTATTATGGCAGCGGCATATAAAAATAAACCGCACTGAAAAACCAGTTCGCTTTCTTCTACAGTTTAATGCATTTCCATTTTGTTCTATTTTCTGGGAGGATACAATAAGACGTTTTCTTGTCCGCATAATTATTTGCATAATTGAGAAACTCATCTGCGAACTTTTACATCGCGCTAGACCTCGCGCTTTCTCTCCCGCCCATCAGGCTCCCTTCGGCTCGAAGCTCCCCTGCGTGTGGCAGGCTCTGCCTGAATGCGGTCGCTTCTGCATTTTCTCCTCCTGGTGCTCCATAAAGTCCCCGACAGGAAAGGATTAAAGGGACACCGCCCTCCATGCTCCATGAGACATGTTCCCTTACTGTGCAAAGGGCTGTTCACGTTTCCTACTCTAATTCAGAGGTTTTCGTTTTATTTCGCGTTTGTTGCTCGTTTCTTTCTTTTCTTTTTTTTATTTTAGGGAAGGGTCTACAGGATATTCAGGGTCTCACTACAAGATCAGACTCATAGTGATCTTCCTGTTTACAGTCTCCCAAGTGCTGAGATTATAGGCGTGCCATCAGGCCCTGTCTCCATCGCTGTCACAGCGCGCCCCAGGGGCGGGGCCAGCACGTCAGGCCCGGGGATGGCACCCTGGCCAGCTTGCAGGAGCTTTAATCTGCTGAGCTATTTGGCCGGCCCATTTGTTGCTCATTTCTTAGAGAGGGAAAATACAAATACACTGTGTGCGTCTTTCTGTTCTCTACCAGCACCTAACACTTTGCCAAGACCATAGAAACTAATCCATAACTGTTCCACACATTCCTAAATGCGAATTAATTTATTTCTGAAACAGTGTTTTCTTTATCATGTTTTTCTCCCAGACTTCTTCTCCTGCTTTATTTTTTGCTTGAACTATAGAACCAATCATATTATGTTCCAGAAACTCTGCTAGTACCTTTATTATTTTCTTTCTTTTGCTTTATAGACTGATGGTCAGAGGATGGGGTTTGCTCTGCGGTGCTGACCGCCCCTCCCTGGCCACCTTCTGCACCCTGCGTAAGCCCTCCCCGGAGGCAACCTGCCTTCTGTGAATGCTGGAGGCCACAGCGGCCTGTCTGCACAGGCCATCCTAGGGCCACTATGCCCCCGGCCACGATCCACTTTGGGATGTGTGTGCTTAGCTTTTAAAATACGACAGATAAGATCATCCTTAGCACAACTTTATCAAAAAGATGGCATTGCCAAGAAAGCTTCTCTTTTTACAAAATGCCCTTTTGTTTGTACACACCTGTAGCTAGGTACCAAAAACAGTAGATCTGTCAGTGAACTCAGCAGTGTCACCTGTGTGAGGAACCGCGGCAGCGGCCCTGTTCCCAGGCTTCCCGGGCCTCCCCAGGGAGTTTCTCGCTGCCCTCACCCCGTTTTCAGGATCCATTACCCTCCCACCACCTTGGAAAAGCTCCCCATGCTGATGCCAGAGTCTCCCTCAGGCCCCCAGGGAACTACAAGGCGTTGGCATGTCACGCTGCTCCACCCGGACGGTCTCTATCTTTGAGGGAGCCCGGTCCCCACCAGAACCCCTTATATTTTTATTTTCCTTTGCTGTCTCTAGTGAAGCCAGCCCTCTTCACAGATTCTTTGGATTTCTTCCATTTGTATGCAGCTGTCATTCTCAAATTACCTTCTGTGGTGGGCGGAGGGCGTCCTGGCTTCTTAGCATGGAGCTCTCAGGGGGCCTTGCCTCTTCTCTTCCTTGGAAGGGCGCTTTACAAGCCACAGGGGCCATGTGCACTAGAGTGTGGCAGGGCTGCTCCCCTGGTATAGATTCCACAGCGCTGCTCCCCTGGCCCAGACCCCACAGCGCCACTCCCCTGGTGTATCACCTACAGCGCCGCTCCCCTGGCATAGACCCCGCAGCGCCGCTTCCCTGGCCCGGACCCCGCAGCGCCACTCCCCTGGTGTATCACCTACAGCGCTGCTCCCCTGGCCCGGACCCCACAGCGCCACTCCCCTGGTGTATCACCTACAGCGCCGCTCCCCTGGCATAGACCCCGCAGCGCCACTTCCCTGGCCCGGACCCCACAGCGCCACTCCCCTGGTGTATCCCCTACAGCGCTGCTCCCCTGGCCCGGACCCCACAGCGCCGTTCCCCTGGTGTAGACCCTACAGCTCTGCTCCCCTAGCCCGGACCCTAAAGTGCTGCTCCCCTGGCCTGGGCCCTGCAGCACTGGTCCTCTGGTATGGATGGTAAAACCCTTCTCAAGGGATAGGCTGTCCTTGCACCTGACTCTTCTCCGAAGGCTTTCAGTTCACAAAATCTGACATTCACGTTTGGATCCTAAATACATTCAAGAGTCACCTTTTTTCCCTCAAAGCTATATCTCATAAAATATCAGCCAGGCCATCATATTTCCCAGCACAAAGGTCTCATACAGCACCATCATGTCTAAGCCCTGAAATCTGAAGAATACTTTATAAAAGTGGTGACCTTGCCCTACTATGCAAACCATTGCATGGTTAGGTTTCATTCTAAGAACAAGTACACTGTGGATTGACTCCACCTAAAGCATTGCAGTGATCCCTGGTGCGATTCTCGCTTACACTACTGCGCAGCAGCATTCTCTGTCCCGAGTACAGCCACACACTGTAAGTGAAGGCACGCTAGAATTTTTTTATGTTATAGGGCAAGGAAAAAAGGACAAGGAAATACTTAAGGACATAAAAGAAAACATGCTTTTAAAAAACCCACAGCAGGCATGTACAGTCCTACAGCAGAGCATCTCACTCTTAGTGACGTGTCCCCGTGGACAGAGCGTGGCTTGGGGACGCCATGAGGGAGATGTGCGGATCTCAGGGAGGGTGCAGGGGTGCTAGAGCCCAAAGGCATCATCAGCCTCGTTCCACGGCCTGGATCCTGCAGCACTGCTGCGGGATGACAGATCTTACAGGGTCTGTGATTATTTAGGCAAACACGATTGTACTGAAGCTTGGATTTTCTTAGATGATTTATTTCTGAGGCCCATCATTCCACCTAAAGATTGGAGTTGGTTTGGGAATTATGTCTCCCCTGGGATGAATAAATTATCCAAATGCCTATGTTAGAGTAGATAAATATAAAGAGACTTTCCACACATATGTGTGTATAAAGTCAAAATACAAATGTATTTCTGGATGGGGTGTCCTTAGAAAGACTTCCTCGATTAATTCATGCATCGGTATGAACACAGTGGAGAACACCGCATCCGTAATTATGAGTAATGCATTGATCCTTAAATTATTGAGTTGCAGGGATTTTGTTTTTAAAATATATTAGCATCTTTTATCCATTTTATTAATATTTAAAGTGGTAAATTCTTTAGGCTGCATTTCTGGAACATGTCATCCTAGGCCTAAAGCATTCTGCCAGGACATTTCCAGGGCTGCATGAGCGCTGCTTGCAGAAGCATCCCCTCTGGCACAGCTGCGCTTCTCCGGGCCTTTGTTCCAGACTCTTCAGATGGTTTGGACAGATACAGACAGATTCTGTCTCCAGGGAAAATGGAAGATTTATTTCTTGGCCAAAACCACAACACTAATGTCTCCCTCTGGTCACGGGATGGACACACTGGCCTACCTAAGTCACCTCCTAAGCCCGCAGCCCCTCCAACACCGCACATGTCCGCCCCGTATGCGGGTCTGCGGGGCGCCTGCTCCTCAGCACACGTGGACGGGCGGTGGGAGGCTGCGGGAATCTGCAGCTCTTGCCGCCCGCTGTGCCTAGGAGGTGCCGCCCTTCCTCTCTGCTCCGGACGCTAACGTCTTCTGACAGCACCTGCGAAGTTGAGACAGGTCAACTTATCTTAAATATGAGGCAGAACCTTAGACCTTTGACACGAGCAAAAGATAAGATATCGTGTGACAGTGAAGACAATAAGTGGCTTTTCTAGGATTGTCCGAATGTGCCTCGTTCCTGGAAGCAGCCCTAACAATGGCAACAGCCTTAGCACAGAGCTACCCGCGCACACACGGGCTACTAAGGGTCGCACAACAGCCTTTCCCGGTCTGCTTTCCACGGCTAGCATTTCGCTCTCCTTTGATCCCCACAGTGTTCTCGTTTGCTTTAAGACTGTAGTGATTCGTGTGCTTAATTTTCGCCTTGTTAGACTGTAAAGCAACAGGGCAAAGCAGGGACGCACGCCGCTGGGCCTCTCAGGTCCCCAGACCTGTGGTCCACCAGCCTGCTCACTGGCACGAGCTGCCTGCGTTGTACGTTTGTGCACCTTGTCGCATTTCTGTAAAGTAGAATCCAGCGAAGAAACTCCGAGAAGGAAAGCATGAAATAACAGACCCAACAGCACCGAAGTGCCGATGAATCAGTAAATATGTCCAGCTTGATCAGGACAGAAACACTGAGGATGCTGATAACAACCAACGTTCTCTCAGACCGGGAGGCTCAGGTCAGGCCGGTGAGAGGACGTTGATCAGATCACTGCGGCAAAGGCCGGGGAGAGGGGAAATTAAATCCCGAACACTCCCGCAGCACGGTCCCGCGCATGGGAGAACTTCTGGAGTTCGCTTGCTTCATTGGGTTTGTTGTTGCTACTTTTTTTTTTTTCAAACAGAATTAAATAGGCCCATACTAAACACTAACTCAGTTGATAAAGTATTACAAAAAGAGGCCACTCTGGAAATGAAAAGCTATTTTTTAAAAGCTACAGTGTATAAATGTTCTACCGAGGTAGAAAGGGGAGCGATTTTCTTCATTTGCTTTGGCAGTCAGGTGTCTTTGGTCTTGCTCCAGAGTTGTGTCTACAAAAATGAAAAGAGCTGAGCTATGTGCTCTGCACACATTTTTAAAGGCAGGTAAAACGCAGGGTGCAATGTTATTTCCAAGTTCTCTGCATCACAAAAGCAAAAGGTTAAATACACATCATTTTATCGCAACATCCCTATAATATAATATAATTGTTTCACGGCACATTAACAAGCCATTTACAATTCTTATCTCAAAGGAGAAAATAAGGTAAAACATAAATAAAATTACAAAGTAGTTTTCTGGACTCCCTGTTGAGTTTCGTAATTATGCCAGGATAAAGCATTTAACAGCTTATTATTACAAGATATTTCAACTCTTAGATTAATGGAAGAAGAAACAAATTAGCAAGGGGATAATTTAACCGTCTAAAATTTTGTTTCTATTTAAAAAATAAAATAAAATGACTACTTAAAATAATCAGCCTTCAAAGAACATACATAAGTGACTGTGTCCACATTAAATTTCATCTACTATTATCTTCCTGCTTGTATTATTCTAATGAAAATGGTTGTTTAGACTTCGATTTTTCTTTCTGCATTTTACATCTCTGTACAGCACCAG